AAAAAAATATTGTAAATGTTATTAACAAAGAGCAACCCCTAGAGTTTCTTGCTCATTCTTCTCAGGGGAATCTGCCTTACGAGTGAGCGGTAGAGTTTAATATTGTGACGATTTCAAGTGTAATAATGCTTACCTATGAAATAAAGATTATTTTGAATTTGAATTTGAATTTGAATTTGAATTTGTAACCCCATTTAAGTTATAACAAAATATAATAGGATTCCTCTTACGAGTGAAGCTAATAGCTTGACATTTGGTTACACTAACTGTAATTTTGTTAAGTGAATAATATTGTTGAAGCGAATCTAAATCTTGTTGTAACGATATACAGTCAGCGCTACTGCGAATGTTCATGTAAACTTTTTTATCATCAGCATACATAATATGTTTAGAAACTTTAATATAGTCAGTAATATCAAAAATGTACGCATTATAAAATAAAGTTGCAAGATGAGATCCCTGAGGAACCCCAGAAGGTACCATGATGTAGTCTGACTTATATCCACCAATCACAACTAACTGAGAGCGATTTGACAAGTATGAGCGGATCCAACGAAGTAAATCGCCATGTATCCCTAGAGCTTGCAGCTTACAAAGTAGAATGTAATGATCAACGCGATTGAACGCTTTCTCAAAATGGATGCTCGATTTTATGCTTTGACTCGATTTTTTAGATCGTAAAGGATCATTATGCCTCTGAATCGATCCACAAATCGGATCGTATGCTCTTGAATCGATCTCATAAAAATCGTTTCAAAATTAATTTCGATAAAAAAAAAAACAGCCTTTTTGGCTCCAGTCAAGTGGTTTACGACTTTCATTTAGAGTGATACTCTAGTCAGTGAGTAAAGACGTTCAGATGGCACAGAATTAATGACAATTGCAAAATATTGTAGACTTACTGTACTTTGACGTTGCTAACTGCTTTTCTTGCAGGCCAAAATAAAATAGGGGCTCTGAAAGGAACTGTTTTGTTTAAATTATGAATACGATCTAGACGATTCGATTCGCCTTAATGTTGCATCGATTTACATAAAAATTGCATTGAAATGAATCGATGCAAAAAATCGCTAGATCGTATACATTATAACAATTGAATCGTAATGTGCATCCCTAGGTCAAACTCTGTAAAATGTCCAACGAAGGATTCTTTGACGGGAGTTTGAAGAGAGAAAGGGCGCTAAAAGTTTTCAACTTTAAATTTTTTAATTAAAATTGTCAGATAAATCTATTTTTCTCTATAAACGTTATAAATATAGTGTAAATATAACTGTTTTAAATAATTCAAACGCTAATCAGGCCGGAGGCGATAGCCCCCCGGCCGATAAAGCCCGGGATCCTCGGGCAAAAGAGCTAGAAAAACGAACTTTCAAGAAGAAAATACTGGCGTTGGAGAATCGGTGAGGAAAGTTCGAACTTTACTCCTTATTTTAAACCAAAGTACAAAAGACTTTATCCTGAAATTTCCACAAATTACGAATTCAAAGTTTTTCTTGAAAGTGACAATAATTTATTTATTTATTTTTATTTATTTATTTATTTCAGGCAACTAGGACCCATAGATACATACCTTACAGACTAACATACATATAATATAACAATAATATAATAAAACAATAACAGAAATATTAAATAAATACCTTACGGACTAATCATAAATACAATATAACATGATAATATACATATAACACTATTTATTTACACGTACGTACTTCGACGTGTGACGCAACGTGAGTGTCCGGTAGCCGTCCTCGGAAACGTCGGTATATGACACCCTTCGGCCAAAAGTCTTCTCTCATGAAGGTCGACAGGTGTTGAGTTGGTACTCGCACCACAAATGAATTAAAATTCACATTGTGGCGCGACTCCAACCGCTCGACCCTCAGGTTTGCATTGGCCTTCACTCGCATGTACTCCACAATATCCGCAGACTTGGTGGAGTAATGAAGACGCGACACGTATAACAACGTCGTCGGTACCGCTGGACGCAATAAATGATTCGGGCCAGTCAGGGCGGTGCCACTAAGGTTTCGGCTGATGTTCTTCTTTTTCTTTTCCACCTTCCGAAAGCCGTCCTCGTCGCACTGATCAACTCGTCTCGGTGGTACTGACGACACAGCTCCAGATACGAGTTTCTTTTTCAGTTTTCCCTTCATTGGTTGCCTGGGTTGTGGTTGTGGAGTACTGGGTCGGGCAGCGGCAACAGCTGCGTATTCACGTGAAGGGGTCGTCTCCGGCGGGGCGGGGTGCGGGGAAACGCGCGCGGCAACAGCGCCAGAGGTCGGTGACACATGCATGTGAGCCGACTCAAAACTGCTGAAAGAAGCATTTTGCGCCCCGCGACAAGTGTTCACGTTGCAGGCCTCAGGTGACCTACTTACCGAAGCCGCACTACTAAGTAATGCAACTTGGGCACGCAACTCACTGATGGTGTTGTCTGAGGCCTCCAACTTACACTGAACTTCAGCAAGGCTTGCTTTTAGGGACGTGATGTCCTTCAGCAGCCTGGTGACGTCGACGTGGTCGAACGTGACAGGGGGCAGCTTATGCAGCTCCTTCGCCACGAATGCAGGCACGTCGTCTGGGTCGGTCTCCTTGAACAACGTAATGATGTCCTGGAGACTCTTCACTCCTCCATCTCTCCGACGAGACGGCATCTGCTCGGCTTTGCCAAACGTCCGGAAAAGCAGCGCCTTGCCACTGCAAATCTCTTCTTCTTTGAAATTTGACTTGCAGATCTGCACGATGCTGACTTCTTGAATAATGTACGTTTGGGTAATAAGAGTCCCATCTACTTGAACCACATTTTCACTGCAGTTATTAAAGGAGTGGTGGCCATTCACAGAGTCAATGCTAGCAAAATAGTGGTTATTTTCAAGCAAAATAATGCTCTTAACAACTTTCATATGAATACGGCTTTTCTCGAAAAATACAAAATGAATCTTAAATACCAGCTGCACAAATTAAAAAGACCGGAATCATTAGATATGTCCCAGCTGATATCTCAAACAAACTTTATTACAAACTATCTTCAATTTATGAAATTATAGCAGTGCGCAGATTTGCAAAAAAAAAAAATGGTACTGAAAAGGTGCCTCTACAAACATTCAGCATAACTTTCCTAGCTAATTCTCTACCCGACACTGTCCAAAACAAGTCCAAAACGATTTATTTTCATATAGAGTATATCCCTCCTCTGCAACAATGCTACCGATGCTTTAAATTTAAATCACTCAGCGAAAGTTTGTAACGGCAAACAGCGCTGCTCCTTCGTACGACTAAAAAGTCGTTGAAAAAAAAAAGAAAACCAAATACAAATACACGACGCAAGCACATAGAAAAATTCGTGAGGTCCACTGGTTCGTTCCATGGCTTAGTTGGTATAGCGTCTGCCACGGTAAGCTAGAAAACGTCGGTTCGAATCCGGCCGGATCGAAAGAATTTTTTCTGAATGTTCAATCTTTCTATTAATAATTATAACAAACTAGTGGAGTAATTTCACAAAAAGTAAATGAATATCAATTCAATAAAAACTTCAAACCCAAAGTTCTTTTTGCCGTTTTATAAATACGTAAAAAAACACAATAAAAATATTTAAATTGTGAACATCCCAAATATTAAATGAAGATATGGCTCAAAATACTTATATCCAAGCTAAAAAAAATTACCCATCGAAATGACTCCCTCTACGAATGAATGCGATATAATATCTATTTAATGACAGATCTTAATTTTTTTTTTTTTTTAATTTATTAAGGCTTTGGCAAACGCATCAGCCTAAACATGAAGTTTAAATATGTTTCTGTAAATATGGCTGCCACAAAGAGGATAGGCAATTTGAGGCGGCGTGCTTGGATTGACTCGGGATTCCTTAAAACGGGCCGATACGGGTATTTTATTTCGAGATTCGTATAATTTCGCGTTTTAATCTTCGATTAAGGCACAATAGCACTATCCTATTCCACTTTAAACTAGATTTCACAAAATAATTGAAAGTCAAAATAAAAACGACACTTTTCCCTCCAAAAGGTCCAGAGCGAATTGACAGATCTTAACCTAACCATGTCTAAATTTGTGGTTTTATCCATAGATATAGGATAGTAAATCCTAAATCTATGGTTTTATCAAATGATTTCAAGGAAGAGTAACAGCCGCGCGTGAAGTTGTGATTTAATAATGTCAGACGAGGAATTTAGGAACGATCGACATAAAGGTATTTACTACACGGGATAATGAAGAAAATCATTTGTTCCGCTCTGGTTGTAGTCAACGTCATCGAAATCAGTCGTACATATCACTATATCACTTAATGACCGGCTGACAATATTTATAAATTATTTACGATTTGCAGACCTGCAAATGTCTCCAAGTTGCTCCAGTTTTGAGGCGCAGGATCCGCATGATCCCGTCATTAGCCGCCTTGCTACACAGCTGTTCAGAAAGACCAATGATTACCTACAGGGAGAGATTACTGCTGGGCAGGTACACTAAAGCTTTTATTCCTTCTTCTGGTCTGTTATATTAGAGAAAGAGGCTTAACTGTCATTACCATCGCACGAGTTGAGAGTTGAAATTAATATGGTGAATAGATATACATAGTTAGCAGTCTAATCCTAAAATATTAGCTTTAGGAAACTCGTAGTTTCGATAATAAAAATTATTGAAATATTCGAAAATAAATGATAGGAAACATGTTTTGTATGTTAGAAAAGTACAGGGTTTGGATGTTGCAGTATTTTTTTTGAAATAACGCAAAAAAATAAACATTTTCATAAAAAAAAATGAACGAAACGCCGCGTACTTTAAATACAAAATTAACTACAGGAGCTAGAGGAGAGAGTAAGAATAAGTCTTACTGCATTGGATCTGAACACCTCTTTCTGTTTTGTGAATAACATAGCTATTAAAGAAATTTAGGTGTTTTAGTAAAAAAGAAAACCTGCTAAGTTACACTAACTTTTTCGTTTTTTTCAACCGACACCTGCTCAAATCTGCCTTTAAATATATGTTTCAAATGCACAGACCAAAATTCATCAGATTAATCAGTTTTTGTACTGAAGCTCCTGAATTATTATTGTAACACCAAACCTTATAATTGTAATTGTTATTTTGTAGGAAATTATACTGTTTTTGAACTATGCTTTTTAGAAAAAGTAAGAAATACGCAGATGTGTATATCTTCCAAATCTTTAATTTGTGCTGATGGGGCCAAAGAGTTCTTGAGAGGTGACCCTGTACTGGAAGATGCCACATAGGTGGACCATCCACAAGTGAGACTTATGATCAGGTGTAGTGTGATGCAAGCAGTGTAACACATGTCATAGTCACAATCTTTGGGGGAGGTCTATGTGAATAGTTGAAATGATGATAACGCTGATGATGAATAGTCATACAGAAGAAAGATGTCAGGTTTTTTGGAGCAGGTTTCCAACTTCATCCATTTAATAGGCTTATTTATAATTCAGTTCTTAATATTCATGTCTTTATTGTTTGTGTCATATTATTTATAGGTTTTATTACAGAATATAATTATGTATTTATTATGTTTATTTATGTATTATTGACTTTGTAAATAATTTTTTTTTACAGGATCATTACAATTTGCTTGAACAGATTAATCGCTTAACCATAACTAAATACACTGACATTAGGAACTTAGCGGCAAATTTGAACAAAATGCTTAATGAATATAATGGGAAGTGTAAGTATTTATATTCGTTTTCTGGTAAGAAATAATATAATTAAGAGTTATGCTCAAATAATTTTTTGATAAGCATAATTATGCTTATTTAGGCCGTGCTCAGTTAGAGACTCAAATAAATATCATTGTGTATATTTTGTATGAACTCGTTAACATATGTCCGGGCCGGGGCCGTGACGGGCCCACAGTTCATACAAACTAACACGCTCCGTCCACGTTCCGAGCACGGCCTGGATATGTGTGGATAGTCCTTTATAGTTGTATTATGTTAGTCTCTCCATGTGCTCCATTTTAATATTTCTATTTCCAACATCTTCATTTCAATGGAAAATAATTGCTGAATGTATTGCAACAAATATTTCAGATCATGAGCAGATCAAACCACTGCTCCTGCAGATAGACGCGATCATCGAACAGGTGTCGTGGCTGGAGACCCAGGCATACCGCCTTGATGCCGCCACAAAACAACTCAAGCAGCGGTTCAAGGAACTGGAGGAGAGATAGGTTCCTGAACATATACCACCTGCCCTTTAACCTTGTAACTTTAAAAATTGCGATATAGAGAATGAGTTTCGAAATGTATAAAATTTGACATTTCACTCTTAATGTTGGACAGAGTTACAAATTAGATGTCTAAGCCCCAGCTTTTTGGTAAACTGTGAAGTTCTTCGAAGATTTTGTATTTGCAAACATATAATATGTGTTCTATAATGTATAGTATCTGTTCTATGTACAAATGTGGAGCATTTTTAGTTATTTTTAGAAATATAGTGGGAATATTATAGTACATAGTATTTATTATATACAATAACTTATAATATTATCTGTTAGTCGTTGTACTCTACAAGCATTCCTTGATGCCTTTAAGATATGAAAATGTTGAATTTAATGAAAAACATTTAAAGGGTTTATTTAGGCAAATAATATTTTTATGAATTATATATTTGGTACATTATTGCAAAGTTGGGGAAGTAAGGGATTGCTGGACGAGTATGAGTTACTTGCGTATTAATACGAGTCAAGCAATCCCCGTTCCCGCCGAATCATATATGTGTAGTGCTTTTGTCAAATAATAGAAGGAAATAAATGGGAAATAATGAAAGACTTAACATAGGAAGATGTGTAATAGAATAAGTAATAAATCGCAAACTCTATCTTATAAACTGTACCAAATCGTAAAGGAACTATAAAACCATGGATCACTAATGCTTTGTTGAGATGTATGAAAAATAGAGATAATTTGCACTTGAAATTAAAAAAGAAATCCGAATGACGATATATTGAAGAAAACCTATAAAAGATATATAAATTACTGTAATTTAATTTTAAAAAAAAGCTAAAACAGATTTTGAAAAATGTGAATTTCAAAAAGCGGGAAAAAAAAATCTATGGACCGTAATAAAATCTATTTCACATACTACAAATCAAAATTCGTTTGCTACTGAACTAATTTCTACAACGGATCCCAGTTCATCAATTAACACCGTGAATTGGCAAATCTCTCGCAGAAAAAGTAAGTAATTACCATTGACTTACAATTATATGGACGTCGGGTTCGCGCTAAAAGGTGTCCGAACTTATAGGGCGTTAAAATCGTATACAGAGCGTCATTCACGCTTTAGTCTTCGTTTGTTCGACTGACAGCGAAGCAAGTAAAATTAGACAGTACTGCGATGACATTACAGTCTAAATTCAACGTTTTAGCTTTTTCATATTCCTTTACATGTCACTACGTTTAAATAGGTTGACTTGGGACATTTTTTTCGTGGTTTTTGTATTAGACCCGTCGTCCATTTATTTGTAAGTCAATGGTAATTACACATCTAATGTACCACATGACGGCACTAATCACGCTCCTCCAGCTAGCTGCTTTGTGCTACTACCAACTGAAGAAGCAGAGATTGGGTCTTTGATTATCAAAACTTAGAGACGACTGCGCAGCTGGGTATGATGGTATTACAGGAGCACTTATAAAACGCTACAAACAAATTTTAATGAAACCAATCACCTTCATATGTAACCTAGCCATTTCAACTGGTGTATTCCCAGACGTTTAATAGCTCAAATTATACCCATTCATAAAAACGGGGTAAAAGACTGTGAATAACTACAGGCCCATTTCAATATTAACAGTTTTGTCAAAAATATTAGAAAGATTTTTAAATTGCAGGCTCATTAATTAATTGGAATTAAATAAGTTTTTATCGGCATCACAATATGGTTTCCGTTCAAAAGTTTCTACCAGTCACGCAGTACACGACCTTACGGACTTTGTTGTAAAAAATATTGATGAACATAAGCGAGTGCCTGGCTTATTTTTGGACTTAGCTAAAGCCTTTGACACAGTCTCTAAACCCTTATTGATTTCTAAACTTGAAGGATCAGGTATTAGAAGTGTACAATTGGCAATTTTTAAAAGTTACTTAACCGGTCGTAGACAGGGTGTTAAGATTGGTTCTCGGACTAGTAAAGAGCTCTCAATGGAATATGGTGTTCCACAAGGTAGTATTCTTGGCCCCACACTCTCGTATATATAAATAACCTATGTCAACTTTCGCTGCCTTATGGAAAAATCTTTACATATGCAGATGACACGCTCTGATCTTCTATGGTAATTCCTGGGATGAAGTTTTTCGACATACTCAAAGGCTTTAATGTTGTGCTCAACTGGCTGAATAAGAATACACTTACCTTAAATGTTGGCAAAACAAAGTATATTGCATTAACTGTGACCAACGCCACACAACCAAACTGCGACTCCTGTTCAGTCTTTGCCCATTCCTGCTTGAGACTGAAATGCCCGGTTGCTCTTGTTCCAGTATAGATAAGATAAACATTATTAAATATCTAGGGGCCCTCCTCGATTCTACTCTATCCTTTAAGGCACATATTGACGCAGTAAGCTCTAGAATACGTAAGCTGATATTTGTCTTCAAAAATTGACGTCATGTAGCGGATGCAGAAACACTTGGTATGGTATACTTCGCTCCTTGTCAAACATTACTATCCTGTTGCATTACAACCTGAGGTGGGGCAGTTAAGTCTCATATATTGCACTTAGAGCGTGCACAAAGAACTGTACTGAAGTTGGGATGGAATTTCCCTCGCCTATATCCTACTACAGACGTGTTCCTTAAGTGCCGGGTATTATCAGTAAGCCAAATTTTCATATTGCATTGTATTCTTAAAGCTCACTCGATTATTGAATGTAAGCCTTTGCTAGTGAGAGAAAAACGCCGCTTTGATGTTTACTCAAAATTTCAGGCATAGTTCAGTTTTACACAGAAATTTTTCTGTTTCCTGGAGGTTACTTGTACTACATCAATTCAAGAATTTTAGTATACTATTTATGCACACATGATTGCAAACTTGCCAAAATTAAATGGATTTTAACTTTGGACTATGACACTTGTGAAAATCTAATAAGAATTCCTAAATAGTAGTTTTTGAGATACCACACTAATTACAAACTAAAAATAAATAAACTTTCGAGTATAACATTTATATTCAATACATATGCGAGCAGTCGTGAAAACACACACACATGCGCACGCACGTATGCACACATACACGCACACGCATAAACGCGCGCTCACACGCGCGCGCGCGCGCTCGCGCACACACACACACACACACACACACACACACACACACACCTCTCACACAAACACGCACATGACTCGTCACCACATTCTTTACTAAAATAGCGTATTTACTTTTACATAGGGCGCACTATAAGTTTCCGGTACTGGCCACTTATTTAAACAATATTTAAGAAGTAATTATAACATTTGAAAATAAAACTCTTTGGCTGTAGAACATAGTTTGTTTCATCTGACTATCACTTGTTTTTACATTGTGGCGTCATTTTAGAAATTGGTTGTCTACATCACCATGGATTTAACTCGTTAAAATTTTCGTGGTATGATTTTTTACGACTTGTAAGTGTAAGTTAACAGCTCAGTGGAGCTTCACTCGGCATCAAACTGCTTTTGGCGATGAAGCACCATGCAAGACGACTATTTATAGCTGGTTTGCAGAATTCAAAGGTCGTGTGAATCTCAGTGACGAATTTCGTGATGGTCGCCCGTCCAATGCTGTGAACAACAAAAACATCGATGATGTGCGCCGTATGATCATAACAGACAGGCATGAGACATACCATGAGATTCGGACATCTTTAGGCATAGGCATGAGTCAAATACAATCTATACAATACCACACAAACATTTGAGTGTGAAAAAGCTGTGCTCTCGGTGGATCCCACACAATTTGACTGAGGCTCAAAAAACGGATCGCGTCACTTATGCAATGCCATGCTAACCAGATCAACGAAGGGGTGTCAAATTTGGTGTGGGACATACGATCCCAAAACAAAGCAGCAATCGAGCGTATGGGTCTTTCGAGATGAGCCGAAACCAACCAAAGTGGCGCGCGGGCAAAGTGAATCTGAGCGGGAGATTGCTTCTTTTTTTAATAAAACTGGACACGTGGCTACTGTTGCTTTGGAGAATCGTTGCACCGTGAATAGTGATTGGTACACGACCATTTGTTTGCCGGAAGTTATTGACAAACTCCGTAAAAATAACCATAAACGTCGTGCATATCATCGTGCACCACGATAATGCCAGTTCTCACACGGCCAGACAGACGAATGAATTTTTGAAGATGAACAACGTTGACCTTATGAGCCATCCCGTGTACAGTCCTGTCCAGTCCTCCAGTCAGGATCAACCTCGGAAACAACGGCGATGCGCCCGCTGCCACGGAGAATCTCATGTTCGTCTATGTATGGTGTTAAGGTGAGTAGTTTACTAGTGCGCGGTAATGGTTTAACTTTTCGTATTGCAGCGATGTCCAAGGGGAAGGAATCCGCCTGTACTTGCATTAGCAAAAGGCAGTAGCATGCCGTAGTCTAAGAGATGAGGAAAATCGATCATTGTTATAGTGTTATTTCTTATCCACTGAATGACAGTAGTGGAGTCGCTCCAGAAATGACGTCTCACGGCTTTTATGTTCGTTAAAAATCATATCGGCTAGCCGTGCGGTCAGTAAAGCCTCCTCCAACTCTGCTCGAGAGACGGTTATAGGAAAACACGACATTACTTGCCACAAATGCAATACGTATTTTTTCATTATAAGTCCAACGCCAATAGGCCAACGTTGCCTTCGATGACGCATCACAAAAAATGTAGCTAGGCACTCCGTTATAATTCGCCATAGCATTAGCCGGTTCCGTAGCAGCGTAGGCGCTTGTAGCAGATTGCGTAGACGCAGACAACAGAGGGGGAGCACTGCGCGCGGCGGAGGAAACTAGCCGCTATAACGCAGAGCTGCTATTATTCGCAGTATCTAGCTCTACCGCACTCGCACCTGCCGTTGGAAGTTTCTAATAGTATTACGGTTACATTTTACGTTACAATAAAAAAAAACTTTAATTCAAACCACTTTTGACGGTAGCCAAAACTAATTTCTAAAAGTTCATAAATTTTGTCATTGCCGTAACCCCCGATATTATGGGAAAATGAA